ATAACTAGCAACCTTGCAGTCACTATGTGACTGCCGTGACTTGTGGACTAATTAATAAAATTTTGGTTGCTTAAAAAATGACTTTTGTTAAATGGCACTGTACTTTCTTAAATATTAACTTTTTTAAAGGTATAAGCTCATCCCGATGTTACACTCCTCAAGAGCTTTCATTTGAGTACCCACATGCATTTTCATATATTTTTCATATGTACATATATATAATTTATATAAATATATGAAAAATTGATGTGGGTACTCAAATGAAAGCTCTTGATGAGTGTAACATCGGGATGAGCTTATATTTTTAAAAACGTCAAAAGTTAAAAAAGTACAGTGCAGTTTAACAAAAGTCATTGATTTGATGATGCAAAATTTTATTTATTCATAATTCACAAGTCACGGCAGTCACATAGTGACTGCTAGGTTGATAGTTTATGAAAATTAAATTATACATTTGACGATTTTTCTTATTAAAAAAATGAATAGAAAAAAATGAAAAAACTTAAAATTTACTAAACTATTTTTTTATTGCAGAGGATATTAAAAATTTAATCCTAGCTTCTTACCGTAGTTTGAGTAAGCAAATTACAAATCTGAGTGATCAAATTGAAGATGCAACTTCACGGCTAACTTCTCTGGAGTCTTTGATAAAAAATGTGGGAACACTCCCTGAAAAACCTGAAGAAACAATTCTTAATGAGGAAGTTCGGAAAACACGAGGGAGTTTAACCAAAAATAAAAACAACGACGACGTCAAAAATGTTGTTATCATAAATGATTCAGAGTCCGAATCTGGATCTAGCTCCTCATCTAAATCAGATTCAAATTCGAGTTCAGAGTCTGATTCTAAATCCAAGAAGAAAGAGAAAAATTCAATTAAAGTCTTTGATACTTCTATCAGATTGAAATTTCCTTTGCAAACTGAATATGATTTTTGTATATTCAATGCTAAGATTGCTAAATATGGATATCGTAATCGAGTAGTACGTATTTTAAATCATTAAATAATCATTTTAATTAAATTATTAAGAAATCATTTTATTTTAATTGTCAAAAAATTATTTTATTTTAATAAAAAAAAAATTTTTATATTCTGTTTCAGATCAATAATTTATCACACATGGTAAATAAAAATTCAAGCTTGTCACGAAATGTTGAGAAAATGATCCGGCATTACTTGACAAAAAATGTCACCATGCGTTACAATACCAAAGTTTCAACGATTAAAAAAAAAGCTTTTATTGACACGCTTTTTTATCAGTGTATTGAAGGTATTTTTTTTTTAATTAATTAATTAATGATTATAAATAATAACTTTAATATTTACAGAGGTAATTAAAAAGATTTTCGGTGAATCAAAATCAATTTCTGATGAACGGATTCATGTGTCTATTACGGCTGCGCTGAAATTTGGAAGAAAAAAATAATACAAAAAAAAAATTAATCATTAAGCTATTATAATTATTTTTTTTATCATTTTTTTTTTTATAGTTGTACAAGGACAAATTTAAAAATGAAGCTATTGAAAAATTATAATCATGTTTAACTAAAAAGTTGCGATTAAAAATACTTGTTCATACTCAGGAGAAAGATTTTGAGAGAATCATTGTACTGGTATGATAAATAATGGATATATTAATAATAAACATATGAATATATAATTTTGATAAAAAGTCAGTGGGTTAAAAAAATAAATTAATTGGTTGATTGAATGATGATGTGTTACAAGTTACAATACAATTGAAGATTCTTCCCTCTCGAATCGCCGCGAATGTGTTCCCAAGCTTGTCCAATAGATTAAATGATAAATGAGCGGGAGATTCTTTAGAATATAATATGTAGAAAAATAAGATAGAGGAGCTGCAGAGATGCGGCAATAAGAGATACGATGCGAAGGTGTTTATATAAAAAATGGTCTAAGATATTATGTAGTGACTGGGTGTAGTGCTAGAATTTTATTCACCTTGGATACGTTATATTATAACATCTATACAATATAAAATAAAAAAAAAAATTTTATATATATGTATAAACGTATAAATGTAGCTTGACTGTGAAAACAGATCAGGTTCTCAGGCGTTTATTTTTTCTTTACCTGTGAATTTTTATTGTTATACACTTCATACAGTCACCACTTATATCAAGAGTTATATTTATAATAAAATAAAAAATAATATTGAGTATTAATTTTTAAAGGCATACATTCTTGTACGATGACTGGAATTATTTAAATAGGCTGATAATTTATTAAATGTTTAATTTTGTTAATTAAAATAAATTTAGATGTTAATTTTTTGATAATAATAAAATTAGCTAACATTTTTAATTTTTTATTAATTAATTAAATTAAAATGAAAAAAATTTTTTTTAAAAATTGCACTTACGGTTTTTTAAATTTTTTACAAGTGAATTTTTTTTTTTAAATTTTTAAATTTTTAAATGTCGGCTAACTTAGTTTAGATAAATATTATTTTTATTTTTTAAAAAATTTTTTTAATTAAATTGCACTAAAATTTAGTCATTGAGTATTTTTAATTATAATTTTATCTAAAAACTTTTATTATATTATGTAAAAAACTGTTTATAATATTGAAAAAATTTCATCGAAAAAAATAGTTTAGTGAAGAAAAAATATTTGAATTATGAAAGATGTGATTAATCATATCGACGTTAATGGTGTATGGAAATAATAGTAAATAGGAAAACCTGATGTCAATTAATCTGTTATAAATTTAATAGTCATATAGACATGATGGAAGATACTTGTCTTGTCGAGTAGACTGGAGATGAATATTACGCTCTACCGGATACAGTTTTGACGATAACGAGCGGATTCGCAATCACGGGTACATTGTGCAACAGTGCTGTTAGCCAACTTCAGAGCCTGGAGAGGGAATGAAACTCAGACGCTTCAAGATCACAGAGCAGGAAGTTACTGCCATCCAGAGAATCCGTGCTTCTGCTACCAAAAGTAGGGGTTGAGTTACTAAGTTTCGTTGCTCTGAAACTTGGGGATGGAAAATGCAAATCTTTATAAATTAAAGGACTTTATTTACATCTGTTAAATTTACGTTGTATTTTATTATTATTATTATTATTATTATTATTATTATCTATATTATTATCTATATTATTAAGAGAATAAGAAAAATTTTGTGTCCAGGATAGTCATCTAATAAAATCGGCTTTTTAAAATGAAATTTAATGTCATTGCAAAGGTCTTGACTTGAAATTGTGCCTTTTCAAGGTTTCATATCATTCTAACCGATAGTCAATTTATTATGATAAGTATTTAGGCTGCATTCAAAGATGCTCTATCTTTAGATACATAATTAAGAAATGACCTTGTATTTTGGGAAGTAATGACATTTTTAAGGATATACGCTCACTCCGACATTACACTCATCGAGACCTTTCATTTGAGTACCCACATCAATTTTTCATATATTTATATATATTATATATATATATATATAT